TTTTGTCTCAGTATCTACAATTTCTTTTGTATATTGCAATACATCCTACAAAAACACATTCAATAGTACATGCAGTTATATGCAAATTGTCTTAGTTCATTGTGCAATAGCAGTCATCTGTTAGTTAGAACTATTGTCTGAGCTCTATATAAGCAGTGACTAAGGAGTAATTCACACAAACTGCAAAATCCTGTGAGTGTCTTAAATAAAGCATTCACAAAAGATATGAAAGTAGAAAACTTGTTCCAAAACTAGAATAAAAGGCTTCATTGTTATCAAGCAATGGTACAAACATTGAGAAACCCAAAATCCAAACTGATTGCACACTCCCTCCTCCATACAGCTCTAATTAATTACCATTTGATTTCTTCTTGTTGACATTGAATCAAGTATTGGAAGGTCAGCATTTTTTTTTCTGTTACTGAAATTGAAGTTGTGTGCAATTAGATCAAAATTAAATAAGAAATATTTTTCCATACACAGAATGAAAACAGGAATTGAAAAATGTATAGCGCTAACTGGTGACTAGATTGAAAGATATACTTAATTTTGGAGTGAAATAAATTTACTTCATTGTTGCAGTAGTTCCATTATTCTATTGATTGGGGACCCCTTAACATCAACTCATAATATTGCCTATGGGAAACTGGAAAAAAAATATTATTTTGAGTTAATACAGATATTGAAGCAATTTTATTTAGTTTGTAATAGAATGTAAATTCTCATTTTATAGAAACTGTAAGGGCTACAAAGAACAGGAAGTTGTGGAGAGCCATGATCTGAAGGGACACAACACATAGAAGAATATGTGCATAAATACACTAAAAATACTTCAAGACAGCTTTTTAAACCATATTCTCCTGGCATCAGTTTAAACTGACTTCTATTTTTTACTACTCCCCGCCCCTGTATATTGTGACTTATTTTCATCTTCCTTGACTCAGATGAAAACATTTCAACGAAATTTTCACTTTCCAAAATTATAGTTTAGAATTATAGTTCACAAATATGGAAAAGAAAAAGAAAAGTGCCAGTTTAAACACCTAGAATTCTCAACTCGGTACCTGACCTGATAACACAACTATTTACTCCGGTCTTAGTGAATCTGATTGGTTCGATATGGTCAAATTGGCAGTTGATCTCAAAAATGTAATGCCTGCATCTTGGTGGCTTGGTTGCCTTGCTTGGGATGAAATGATTAAATATATATATATATATATATATATATATATATATATATATATATATATATATGTGTGTGTGTGTGTGTGTGTGGGTCAATCTTTTGTATGAAACATAAAAGAAAAAGAAAGTTTTTTGAGGAAAGTTATTAACAAATCTTTATTTGTTAAAGTGTTTGAAAATGAAAAGCTTGACAATATCAAATTATAAATGCATATATAATCTGCACCCTCAACTACAAGGTGATTTTCAGCATTTCTGTAATATAGTTAACATATACATATATACAAAGTCATTTGCTTCTTAGGTTTCTTCTGAAATGTCCCCTGTGGATGATGCTATTCATGGCCGGCATTTGTATGTCAGTCACAACAAATACCATTCACAAGAGAGCCACAGTCTCCCGCAAATCTAATTTTCATTCATTACTTATTGCAGCCTGAACGTGCACACCGCACTAGACTTTTGTTGTTATATCTTTCATACAAATCTGTTAATAAAGTTTCTTTAAAATTGAAAGGAAAAATATTTGCTTCTGCTTGTTTTTGATATTAACAGAATTAAAGCAATTCTTATAGCAGAATCAATGCAGGCATTAAGGTTAAATTGCTACTCAAGAAAACAATGAAATCATACAGTGTATGAAATGTATAGCAGCAAGCTAGAGTGTTTGGAGGTTATTTATGCAAAAATTAATGTTGATAAAACTGTATATTATTTCTGTCCCTTGCAAACAAAAATATACATTTATCTATAGGTGTGTGGCTGATGCCTGCCTTGTGATCACAAGAGTGAGGTTCAAATCTTGCCACAGTCAATTTGTCAGGAATATGACTTCTTGATAATATCACCCCAAGGAGGCAATCCCAGCTTGTAGCACCTTTGGAAAGTGCTTGAAAACCATATAACATGTTGACCAAAGTTTTCTAAGAAAAATTGTGTAGATGAAACTGACGATGATTGTGCAAGCACAAAGTAAGAAATCATTGTGACACAAGGCTTTGAATGTATTGGCCTTGTTCAAACAGTTTTTCATGCCAGATGATGTGCTCAGACCCAGAAACTGTAACTAAGGTCTGCTCAGCATAGACCCTAGGTAGGCGCTGCAAGTGTTAAACACTAATGTAGATGAGTAGGTGTCTGTGCAACACAGACTAGCTAGCCCTCCCAGCAAAACAGGCATAGTCAGAAATGAGCAGAAGGCCATTAGATTTAGATATAATACCTATAGACTAGATACTATTTGTAAAACATTAAGCATTTTGCTTTCTTCAAGCTAAGAACATCAAGGAATTGAGTTCTGATCTATTTATTAAATCATCTTTTCTCATTTTGTGTTAGTTTCTACCGTCCATTCTATGGCTGTTGACTGTATAAAGCTGATTTTGAATCTGTTCACAAGACAGCCTACTCTTCTAAGCCCAGAGAACAGTACTGATCAATAGGAAGGGCTTTATGCAATATTCATTTTCAATTTCAATCATTCTTCACAGAATTTTAATATCGAATTTCTATCAGAATTCAGATTTTAGACATATCATCATCATTTATATAATTGATGCATTTTGCACCAATGTGGTCACCATTTTCTTCCATCTCACAAATGGGGTTCATGGTGACATTCAAGGCAGAATAGTGAAATGGCTTACCAGTTGCTTTTACACCCAATCCCTCCTCTCAAAATTTATAGAGGTAGGATCTGCAAAGCAGCAAGTGGTTTGAATTCAGAGTTTTCCTTCTCCTAGATTGGTTTCCAACCCAGGCTATAGGAACTAGTCTGTTCTGCTATTTATCCATAGTTGGGGAGAAGAGATGGATTTGTACTTTTCCCAAGGGTATTAACACATAAGTGAATGCAATGAATTCAACTGGAGCTTCTGATTCCTCAATCAGAGCCATTATTATTCCATTGTACCATCATTGACATATATTTGAATAAAAAATAAAAAAATAAAAGAAAGGAAGTTTTGAGAAAAGCTGAAATGAGAAGGGGTTTACTATCAATTTTCACAGAAAGAGCTTCGATTTCTTGGTCATATCATCCAAAACGGATAAGGGAGATGTGCATGTACAGCTGAATTATAAACTATCAGACCAATCTATACAGTTCACTATAAGGGCACCTCAGTGTGGTGCAATGGCTAACAAGTCTGTCTTGCTAAATCTATTACAACTAAGTGAGTTTGATCCTCACTGAGTGCTCCATACTTTCAGCCTTGTGCCACATCTAAGCTATCCTTAGAAAATCATTATACAGTTCACTGTAAAGATAATGGATAAAAAACAAACTCACCTTCTTAGATATGCTAATAACTACCACAAGATGAGTTACAGAATCTTTATGCAAGAGAAATCGATATTTACTAGATCAGTGATCTTCAACCACTGGGCCGCAGACTGGTACTGGGTCATAGACAATTTGGCACTGGACTGCACAGAAAGAATAAAACTATTTTCCCCCCCCATTTACTGTCTATCACTGCCTTGTTGATAGTTTTTTGTAATGTGCATGACTGACAACCACCCCAGACTAGATGACACAGACTTTGATTCCTACCACCTGGACATGAATAGGTTTGTCTATTGCCTACAAGAAGCAAAATATTCATTTCAACCCAGAATTAGTCATGTTATGAAGAGGATACCCTCCAAAGAAATAACTAGCCTACTTGTATAACACTGACATCTACTAACAAACGTATCCATTTAGGGAGAAAAAGAAATATCACTTTACCTCAGATCAGTCAGTTAAGTGTCATATATGATATATGCTTGGGTGATCATGTCTCTTTCAATACATGACTGACTAGGCAGAAGATTCCCCCACCCCACCCCAGTAGGTGGTTGTTTCTTTCTGCAGTAGACTGGTTGTCAATCAAGGTTAACAGATTCAGTAAGTCCTGCTATTCAACTAATAACTAGAGGGAGAGAAGAGATGGATTCATATCTTTGCAAAGGGTATTTGTGCATAAGTGAATATAACAAACCCAACTGGAAATGGATCTCTGTACTGATTTCTCAATAGGACAAAAAGCATGCTTATGGACAGGATACAGAAAATTTAAAGATGGAATGTTCATTATAGAGAAAAACATTTCAAAGACAGAATAAATTCATCAAACTCTTCCATGAAGAAAGAGAAAAACCTACATTAGACAAAAATATGGAAGGACATGCAGTATTAAAATCTGAGGTATGATTTACACTGGCCAAGATGAAGAAATAATACCAGAGAATATAACCAATGCAGTGTAAAAGTTTTCATGCAACTGAGTAAGGACAAATGCCAAACTATCCTTACCACCCTAAAGAATTGGAGAGTCGCAGATCATGAAAGTACTATGAAATCAGAATTGATTGAATTCACAGGAGACAGGTTAAGTGCACACAAATCTCTATAGAATAAACTTAAGGTCATTAAAAGCAGCAGCACGACTCTGGTGCTCAAAACATCTCATTAGCAATCATAATATATAACTGAACACTGTATGAGAGCTAAAGATCTCAAATTCAATGTTTCAAAGGTGCTTGGATATGTTGGTGGTGAATTTGTTTTTGATTGACTGATTCATCATCTGTGGTGCATCAACCTTTAGCAGGTTATTTAAAGTCAGAAGATATTTTTAGATTTGAAGAATTTTTTTTTAGATAATAATGATATGTCTTACTAATTAACCCATAGATGGGGAGAATAGGTGGATTCATACCTTTCCCCAAGAGCATTTACGAGTAAGTGAATATAACGAACCCAACTCAAATTGAAATTTGGCTTTCCAATTAACAATTTCAAGCCACTATTCATTACACCAACTGTGCATTACTGTACCTGGTATTCCCAAGTGGTCACCCATCTAAGTACTGATCAGGCTCAATGTTGTTTAACTTGAGTGATTATATGGGAACTGGTGTAATGTATAATAGCTTGGAATGAGAAATAATTCCAGTTAGGTTTATTATATTCACTTTATCCTTTTTCCAAAAGATTACTGAGTACTTAAAAATTATATAAAAAAGGCACTCACATCATTTTCTTAAATTATGTTCTACAAATAAAGTCTCCACAGAACAACAATCAATCTGTCATCATCTCATCAAGCATGTAAATACAGCTATTGTCAGTTAAAAACACAGCTACTGCTTGATTAAAAAATTAATTTCTGTGATATTTTAAACTTAAAGTAAATAATATTTGTTTCAAATCAGATTATTTATACTTTAAATCAGCTAATATTCCTCAAATAAAGTTTTAGAAAGGTATATTTTATTTTTGAAATATTTTTAAAACCAAGAAATTGTGTTTACAATTATCTCAAAAATGAACAACTTTGACGAATTTACTGAAGGAAAAAAAAGAAAATCAATTCCAATCAATATAATTTCCATTTGAAATACACCAGAGTATCTTGCTTACTGGAAATAATAAATTTAATCATTTAGCATTCAATTAAAGCTAAAATGAAAGCTTCAAGAAAGCATTTTCATTTATAAAAATGAATTCAGGTATCGAAAATTAGTGGAGGTACCTAGTTGATATTATGTTATTGAAAACATGTCGGAAATTATTTTAAAATGTGTCTCAACAAAACAATGATTTAGAGCTGTCTATATTATCTGGTAATTTATGAAATATCTCTTAGTGTATCAATGATATGAGATCTGTTCAAAAGTATCAACACTGTTGCTATGGTAATGGAACTAAATTACACAGTGAAGCTGCTTGTCAAAGAAAGGCCTTCAATTCTGTCATGCGTGAACACTAAGTTATGACTTTATTGCTCACTTACATTGTTTGTGGTAGTGCTTGGCAGGAAAGTGTGTAGAGTGTGGTCATTTCATAGCATTATATTTGTTCCATCAGTAACCATGGCTTGTGCTGCAGTTTTTGGCTAAGGAACATATTCCCCAGATCTTACCCCTTGTGCAGTAAACCTTTGAAGACTGTTCCTGATACTCTCTTTTGTCATTTTGAAACTTTACTAAATTGATTACAAAGGTGTCATATAGGAAGAAAATGAGTAACTACAAACACCAAGGTTTGAGCATGACACTCTGGACTTATGAATGTTTTCTGCCAAGTTTATAAATAACAGTGTCAGGCTACTGACTGCAGTGATTATTGAATGACCATTGAGTAGAACTATCCAGTGTGTCGATGACTTGGGTTTTGATTTAGGATTTACTGGATGTTAATCTGAGCCACGCTACTAACAAGGTATTTACTTCTTTGTTCTTGTTAAGTATTTATTTGAAGTTCTAATTAAATACTGTTTTATTTTAACATTGAAGTCTTGAGTTATACTTAATTATTAACAGCCACCATACATCATAAAAAAATGTGAGTTTGTAATTATTATACAATGGATCTTCAGTACTGAGGCTGAAGAGAAAAATAAAATCTACTGCCGAGCACAGGGATTGAGCTCACCACCTTCAGTCAACTTGCTAGCAACTTTAGTTTTTAATGGAGGCCTCCATGACTGGAATAAGATCACCCAGTGCAGCTCTATTTTTCTCTCTAGTCAGTTTTTTTTTTGTCTGTTGCCTGGAAAACCTTCATCCTTCAACTTTATGCCCACTTGGGATTTTTGCCCATTGCTTGATTGCTGAAAAGGTTGAGCAGAGAGTGCAAAAGAGAAGATTAGGAATTCAAAGCAAACAGATACTATACCACCCTGGAGCCTCAGAATATGCCAACTGTACCTTTATGGAGGAATAAGCCCCATCCCAATCCTCCAACCCCCAATGAGGCATCCTGGGTACAACATTAAACTACATCAGGCTATAAGTCCTCTGATTGGGAGGTTTTGAAAAGCGTGGAACCACCTTTTAATTGTCGTTGTTCCCTAAATCCATCCTGACCTGGGGTGGTAGCACCTACTAGGGTCCCAGCTATAGAAAAATACTGAAACCTCAAACTGGAGTCAAAACACTATGAAAGTATTAAAATAGATTTTGATAGTAAAAAATACCAACAATACATTTTTGGAAAAAAAAGTATTACCAGTAATACATTTTTAGGTAAAAAACAAAAAATTATTTATATATATTCTATTCATATGAACCTATCCTAAAAATCTTGTCAGCATTAAATATGCTACTGAGGTTGATATGCTGTAAAACAAAATAAAACAAATGAATGAAACTCTACAAACCTTTTTTACAAAAAAAAATACATCAATGAAATCTGATTTCTTACAAAGAATACCTATTCTATTCATACAAATTTATCCTAAAAATCTTGTTGGCATTAAATAAGTCATTGAGGTTGATATGCAGTAAAACAAAACAAAATAAACCAAACCAAACCAGAGACTAAGAACAAAGACTGTTACTTAATTTAAAACTACAGGTCCTATATCTTGGCTGTTTTGGTCACTCTAAATTTAATTCCTTTTCAGATATTTGTTTTGTGTTGAAGACAACCCTTTACTTTTGTCACATCTGATAACTTTTCAGACTACTTTTTACCTTACTTGTGTTGATGCTTGGCTTTCTCCCACATAGCTTGAAGTAATGCACTACTTGATGCAAAATTCCAAAAAAATGTGACTGATACCCAGACAATTGGACTTTGAAACCTTCATTGATTTACTGGTTGTTTTTTTATGACTTAACCTTTTACAGGCTATTTAAAGCCAGTAAATATCTTTGGATTGTAAGAATTATTTTTGAAGATAATTATGATTATTTAACCCATAACTCTGTAATCTAATTTTAAGAATGCTAGCTTTAAATTTACTATAGTCATTACTTTCTTTAAAATTTAATTAAAAATTTTCATTAAAATTTGACAATTATTTGATTTTTGCAAGAATTTCCAAAAAAGATGCAAAAATTCTCATAGTAATCTTTGGCCCACCACTGATACAAAAAAAACAAAAAAAAAAAAAAAAAAAAAACACACACAAGATTTTTAACCAAAATTTTGAATGTGATAGAAAACATTAAAAAATTTAATAAACAGAAAAATACCTTGGTCTTTCCTCTTAGTAAAAAGCAAACATTTTAAAATGATTTCTGACATGATGTTTTCAATAATATCAACTAGGTACCTGAATTCATTTTTAGAAATGAGAAACCTTTCTTGAAGCTTTCATTTTAGCTTTAATTGAAAACTAAAGGATTGAATTTACTATTTCTAGCAAGCAAAATACTTTGGTGTGTTTCAAACAGGAATTATATCGATTGGAATCAATTTTTTTCTAAAATAGCTGAGTAGCACACTTTTTTTAGTCATCTTTTATTACATTATTTTGCATTTTATTACATTACATATGTTATTCTCCGTATTAAAAAATCTTCCAAGAGGAATATCAGCTGATTTAAAGTATAATTAATCGGATTAAAAAAAAAATATTTACTTAAGTTTAAAATAGCAGAGAAATGGATTTTTAAAACAAACAGTAGCAGTGATTACATACTTACCATTGCTCACCAATCGTGTAACAAGTGCTAATAAAGGTGCTAACAGTTTTATAGTTGTTCTACAGATACTTTATCTGTTAAAACAAAATTTAAGAAAGTGATGGGTGAGCCCCTTTTTTTTATGATTTTTAAGTACTCAGTAATCTTAAAAATGTTGAATTTAAATTTATTATAGTCATCGCTCTTATTTTCAGATAATGCTGTGTATGGTCGACTGTACTTTCAAAAATGGCCACATTACATAATATTTTATATACATAAAAAAAATAAAAAATTATTTTAAAAATCTTGATGCAAAATGATTTGTATTAAGTTTTCAATTTTTGATTAGTAAATATAGTTTTCACTTAGTAACAATATCACCTAACTGGATGAAAGTAATGCAAAATTTTAAAAGATTTATATATTATAAATTATTATAATTAAAATTTAAAAAATGAAAAAAAAAAAAATTCTTGTAAAAATTCATTATTCATTGTTTCTTAAGACAATAGTTTCCTTAATAAAACTTATTTATAAAAGCAATTAAAAGCTTTTCTAATTAAATAATTAGTTTTATTACATTTTTTTATTTTATGATTTCGAGAGATTTTTGGGAAGTGAGTAGTTTGAAAAAAATATAAAAAAAATAAATAAAAAATTTAATGATTTAGATTCTCCAAGGAGTCTTGCTTTTAACTAATAAAAAAAATTTCCGGGTGAAAAATTAATTTCTTGAAATTTTATGAAATATGGCAGGTCAGGGGGGGTTAACATATGTTAAAAAAAAATAATAAAAAAATAATTTCATTTATTTGTGAATAAGTCCTGAAAATTTCATTAAAATCCGACTATTTGATTTTTGCATTTCCATCTGAGGAAAAAAAAAAAAAAAAAAAAAAAAAAAAAAAAAAATTTAACAAACAAGATTTTTTAACCCAAATTTTGAAAGTGCGAGAAAAGATTAAAATTTTATACTTTGGTTTTTCCCTCTTAATAATAGACATTTTGATGATAAAACTTTATTAACTTTGGGGCCTTTTCATCATGTTTTTCTGCCAAAAATTGAAAGTATTGAAATGGACATTTCTTTTTTACCCATCAGTTTAGGTACCTTCACTTTTTCATGGGAAACCAGTATAGCATAATTAAAAAGGCCACAAACTTAAGAAATCAAAATTAAATTTGATATTCCAATCTATATAATTTTTATCTGAAATACACCAGAATATTTTAATAATAAATTTAATCTTTTAGTTTTCAATTAAAGCTAAAATGAAATCTTCAAGAATGTTTTTTTCATTTTTAAAAAATCATCTTAAACTTTAGGTATAAAAAATTTATGTTGAAATAGTGGAGGTACCTACATCAGTTGTTTGGCATATCTATCACCTCCATTTCTGTCACATCAACATTTAAAATGACCCATGAAGTTTTGTTTTTCTATTTATATTATAATAATGTACACTACACATCATTTGCTGGAATATATATCGAGCCTTAACCTAGTGGGTAGCTTTTTTTCAGACACTTTATTTTTTTTTTTTTTAATTCAACAAAAAATATGGCGGCTACAGGAGTCAATGTATCTTTAATACTTTAAGTATAAATTTCTAATTGTTGGTGATAGTGTTGAGCAAGCCTACACAAAATTGAGAAAACAGACAAGCAAGAGGGTGGTCCTTGATGTGTTTTCAAATTAGCCAATTTTTTTCCCCTGTGTTGATCAGAATAAAATATGGCAACTGATTGAGTATGCAAATTTCATTTTTTTTTGTGGTAGCATGACTTTTTATTCAACCAATATTTCATTGTCTAATGTCTAATTTTTAATCCTTTTTTTTTTTTTTTTTAACTCACTGTACAAAAAAAAAATAATCTTTTCTTGAGATCCCTCTCTGCATATAAATTGGTTTCAATCTCATGCATATAACTCAATAATTTACTTTTAAAATTTTCTCTCGTGGCAGCTAATTTTCTGCAATCAATGTGGATCAATTTCTTGGAGTGAAATGATTTAAAAGCAACAAAGAGAAAAGGGGGATTTTTTTTTTTTTTTTTAATGAGTTTCCTTAATATGATACACACACATTACCAAATATACCTCTTCTTGGGGCAACAGCCGTTTTTTCTTTCTTTTTTTTTTTTAAATATATTTGTTTTGTAAACAAATTGTGTAAAGGGAAAGAAAAATAACATATAGGGATGTACAAGTTTTATGGAACTTCTGACAATCTGACAGAAAAAAAAAAGGACAAGTCATTTTAAGGTTTATTCAAAAATACAATTTAAATACAAGGAAGGGTATCGTTGATTTTAACATCACAACACTGAATTACCTCCCTTACATATTGCCTTAAATTTCTTTGCCCAACCTCATATTCTGAATAGAATTTAGAAAAGTCATGGGCATACTTTAAAGATAGGCACCTCCATGAGATCGTTAAAAAAAGAGCATAGCATGATGAAAAAGACGCCAAACTTGATGAAAACAAAACTTTATCGTCTAAATATTTATGTTATCATTAAGAGGAAAGATCAAAGTATCTTTGTGGTATTTTTATATTTTTTAATCGTTCCAAGCATGAACGTTAAAAATCTTGTTTTTTTTTGAATCAGCAAAATTGACAGATAATCAATTTTCTATTTTATAAAAAAAATGAAAATCTCCAATTGAAATTCTTTTAAAAATCAATTATATGTTTTTCAAAACTTATTTTAAGAAAATCGGAAATTATGTTCATTTTAAATATTTTGAAACAAGCATTACTTAGTTTCTGTGGTGAAAATATGTAGTTTGAAAATAAAACAAAGCAGGTCATAACATTTTGCGTCACTTGACAGGTGATGAATGACAATTTCATTACATATTCACACTTTACGTGAGGATAAGTTTTTCTACAGAAAGGGAGAAGTGAAATTATTTAGATTTAAGTGAACAAATTATTTACCTCGTTATTTTTAAGGAAAATTTTCAGTGCTCTAATTTTTTTTTGTACTTAGCTTTCACCTTTACGTTAATGTTTTACGGAAAATATATTATAAAGATATTAAAATAAAACTGTTGAGAGTGAGATTAAATTTCATAAGAAAGGTATCTAATTAATTTATAGATACCTTTCTTATGAAATTTTATCAGAAGTGTACATAAAATACTATAATTTTATGTACATTTATTACATTTTACTGTGTTATTTATATTTCCATTCATTTTATTAATAATTTTGATATTTCATTTATTGAAAAATCTCATAACTGAGATTAATATAAAAATAAGATCATATAAATTTCATAAGATGATACTAATACTTGTAGGTACCCTTCGCAGTTGAAATTGAAAAAAATCAAATTAACTTCACACGTTTCACAAAAATAAAGGCCTTAACAGCGGGGAACAATGCTTAACTCAAATAACGCAACTTAATAGTATTCTTGTTGGTCTTCTGTACTTTATAATTACAGCCATATTATAAACACAAAATTACATTTCTTAATTACTGCGGTTCTTCTGACTGATCAAAATTATATAATTTACGATGCACTAAAAAAGATCTATCTCATAAGGATATTTATGAAACTGAATGCAGCTTTTAACTAATTTTATATTTTAACAACTTAAATGTAAAAATCTAATACAATTAAACAAATAACAAATAATTGTATTAAAAATTCATTTTTCATTGAAAAAATTTTTTGCTTTCAGAAAATATTGTCTATATTCATAAAAACAACTAAAAGCAAATAAAAGCATTTGAAATTAAATATCTTTGTTTTATTGAGTTTTGTGTGTTACAATTCAGAGCTGATTTTCATGTGTGTGTGTGTGTGGGGGGGGTCCAATTTAAAAAAAAAAAATACATGATTTTCTTTCCTCAAAGCCTAGTGCTTTTAACTAATATAATCACTAAACTGAACAGTAAAGAATTTCTAGTTTTCATAAAATTAGTTAGGAGGTGGGTAATAAATATTAAAAAAAATATTTTTTCTATGACTTTAAAAAAAGAAAACATAATAATTTCCATCATTTGTGAATAGTTTCTGAAAGTTTCATTAACATCTGACAATTATTTTATTTTTGCAAGATTTTCCAAATTAATATCTGACATGCAAAAAAAAAAAAACATGCTAAAAATTTATGTTATTTTACTAGTTCCGGTGATACAAAGAGAAACAAGGTTTTTTAATCAAAATTTAGAATGTTCTAAAAAGAAGGAAAATTTTTTTAAAATAATTAAAAAAGTACTTCGGTCTTTCCTCTTATAACAAACATTTAGACGATAAAATTATGTTTTCGTCAAGTTTGGTGTCTTTTTTGCTCTTTTTTTTTTTTTTTTTAGCAATCTCATGAAGGTACCTATAAGGAAAACAGGAAATCAACACATATATCCATTTAAATTTATTTGCACAGAGATTAATTAACTGTTGTAACACAGGGCGCTATTACACTTTCGCACCACCTACCCAATTGCTTCCTGTCATTCAGTGGAAACAGTTCTGTCTGTTATTGTTAATTATAATATCTAAATTCAAATATAAATCTCGAGAAACAAAATCAATGTTTGTAAAACATTAAGCAACGGGGGGGGGGTAGTGCGAAAGTGTAATAGTTTGACTAAATTATATAGAGTTTTGGAAACTATTTTTTAGTTATATTTCTAATGTGTAACTTTTCATTTTCAAAGAAGGAGGAGGCTTTCTCTTCCTCTTTTGCCTCTGGGGAAAGAGGAAAACTGATGATCATATGCCGAAGGGCAGAGTCTTGTTTGGGGAATGTAGACTAACCTGACCCCACATATACAGGTAAGTTAAAAACTGGCCTTGTGCCACATCTTGTCGGGAGGTTGGTAAATAGAAAGGAGGGTTCTGCAGAATAATGGTAAGTAAGGAAATCTAAGTATGGTAATTCAGAAATTAAGACGTTTAAATAATAACACCCCCACCAAAAATGCACACCGAAATTAAAAATTGAATTAAATTACTGCAATTTTATAATTAAAAGAAATTTAAAAAAAAAAAAAAAAAAAAGAAGCAATGAAGTGTTTATAGTATTTTATTGCATTTTTAAAACTTATTTTATTTATACTGATTTTCCTTTTACTTAGGAATAAAACCTGCATTTATGCCGAAGTAAATGCATTATTGTTGTTTAAGCTTAGTTTGGCATAAGGCAACAAGTTTTGGAGGATTTATGAGAATTATAAATAGTCCACCAGATTAGTTGGTTAAGCATAACGTCGAGAAAATTTTTTAGCCGACTTATCTAATTTACTTATTTGAAAATTGCAAAGAAAAAATGGTTATGAGAGGAAAAAAAAAAGCATTACCTTCAAAAATAAATTGAAGTTGAAAGTTAAAAAGTTTTGGGACGACGTTTCTTTCAATTTAAAATTTACACAAAAGTTGTTCTACAATTTCTGATTTTCACTTAAAATGTAAACCCAATAATGCTAATTAAAAGGAAAAAGAATCATTTGATATTTTTTAATCAATGGCACTATTTCACTTTCGACCCCCCCCGCTTCCTGCCATTCAGCAATGGGACTCCCAGAGACGACAGTCTGGAAACAATTCTGTTTGTTATTGTTAATTATAATATTTAAATTTAAATATAAATCTCGATAAACAAATTCAATATCTGTAAAAACATACCTTCAATTTTGACAGGTTATTGGTTAATTAATAATTAAATTCAAGAAAAATCACAAGCTTTTTTAACTTAAACTAAAATTATTGAAGTGTAAATTACTGGAAATTCAAGCATTCTTCATCGCATTTATTTGCTTCAAATAAGGAGAGGAAATTAGACACAAGGCCAGTTTAATGCGGGGCCAACACGTCTGTTATTTGATGTGTAGCGTCAAAATAATCCATTTATTGTATGAGGCCCACATATCAGTCTCTAGGCAGACTGTCGTACCTGGGATCAACCAATTGCTGAATGACAAGCAACAAGGGGGTGCGAAAGTATAAAAGCCCCTAATCAGGGTTTTCTGTGTTTACCAATTATTTTCGAGTTGTGACTTTTCTTTATTTAAAAAAGTTAAAAATTCGGACGTGCTCAGAAGGGATCAAAAGTTAAAAAAAAAAAAACCAAACTATTTTGGTGTTTCCTCTTCTTAATAATAACAAATATTTAGACGATCGTTTTTATCAAGTTTAAGGCCGTTATTATATTTTAGAGATTTCATGAAGGTACCTAAATAAACACAACGATTTACTTTTTTTTTTTTGTTTTCACAGTCCACACAGTACACTACAGTAATACTGTCCGACCAGACGAAGTAGTTACATATTTTAACAAAGGTTTGTACTTCACTTCTTCCTTTAACGCTTGACAACAATATGTACGTATGTAAAATTATTAAAAAAAAAAAAAAAAATCCCCCTAAGAATACTTACATTTAAAGAAGATACGAATAACTAAAACATCTCAACAAGTAATGGCGGCATTCAGTTTATATAGCAGCAGTAGCTGGCGGAAACAACCGAAAATTGCCGAATATCCGCTTCACTAGCAACGGATTGACGGAAACAACCGAATGGGCAGTTTTATAAGGTGCGCGCCGATTTACCGTTTTGGCATTTTTTTTTTTCGAATTTATTTAAAGACCGACCACATTAATTGGTGAAAACCTATTTTTCAAAATTTTGAGTCATGTAAACATTAGTTTTTATGTATCGATATACGCATTACGCACTGTTTAAAATAATAATAATAATAATAATAATAATAATAATAAAATACATAGAGCGTCTACTTCAAATACGAGCATCCACTTAGTCTAACACTTGAAATAATAAAACATGTAGGATTGAAAATAAATCTATTAATTCTTTAGGACTCCCCGGTCGACATCGCTGCTCTAATCACGTAAGTCTATTCTCTGTTATTGCTGACAATGCCTACCAGAAACACGAAGGTGAAACGCAGTATCATTAAGAAAAATTACACTTTGTCTCAATATATATATATATATATATATATATATATACTAAAGAATTTAATGGGTAGAGTTGAATTAGACCAGGAAGCATTGCCTTAAAAAAGTGCTCAATACACATAAAATCATAAGTCATCTTTAGAAAGTCTTAGAAATTCTACTAAAGTAGCCAACCATGTGTGGAAATCAAAGGAAAAAAATAAAAAAAGATCCGATTGTAAATTGGAAATTTTTTTAAAAAGCCAATCCTTACAATAATCACGACAACATCTGTAACCTTTGGCAACAAGAGAAATTAGCTATAATAACATTTCCAGACCCCACACCAAAAAAAAAAAAAAAAAACTTTTAAACCAGAGACCGGAAATTATGTCCCGTTGTATTCATACTAAAAAGTTCCTTTCGGGTTCGTTTGTAGTGGGATAAAAAGAACGTATGTATATTTCATTTAATTCCCCACCAATATATTACCAATAATACACTTGATTTACACCTTTCTTCCTCCACCCCACCTTCTACCATACCTCACGTCGTGCGCTTATTCATTTTATAGTGGGTCAGCCAATTTGTATTGGTTATAAATAGAAATAAAAACTGACCCTCTACAATTTTTACAATATCAAATGTAACAAAGACAACAACAAAAGAAATAATCAAGTAGAAGAAATTGTAAATTTGTTCAACAATAAATATTTTTTTATAAACACAACAAATACATAATATATAGTGCAAAAAGTTGATAAACACAATAGAGTTCTTTGGTGTGTGTGTTACTGAAAGAATTTGAGCTACTGTACTGTATGTGTGAAAAATGACAGTTAGCTATATTTGTTTTTATAGGAAAATTAAACAGATGTTTTTTGTGTATTAAATAGAAAAAAAAAGTATTGTTCTTGACTCACTGATTGTTATCGCTCATTAACCAGAGATTCATGTGGAATGGAATATTTTGTGGGAGTGAGCGTTAAGCCTGGAGATGGTTGACAAAGTTTGTTGTTGTATTGAAGATAAAGTTCGTCTCCTTTGCTGTGTTGATTTCCAATGAAATCAAGTGAATTGGTTTCAATATTTTAAGTGCCCACTGACCAAGTCGCGTCGAAGTTTCGTTTTTATTAGTTCTCTTGGTCACGTGGGGAGGCTCGTAAACATGTTTACATTTTATGGCGTCAACTAGAGGTCAAAATTTGGGTCGGTACCTTCGAACGTAGTTGACGACACCTAATTAATATTTTACAACCAATCAAAATACATCAGTTGTTATATTTGGCTGGGAGCCTCTATGTGTTTAACTTGCACAAAATTTATGATTTAAAAAAAATGTAGGAATCTGATTCTACAATTTATTTATTTTTTTTTTAAATATAGCGTTCATAATTTTTTTTTTTTTAAATAAAGCGTTAGGAAATCAATTGACCGAAATTACCTGAAGATACTGAAAGGTTGAAACTAAGGTTGCGGAATCGCCTGATTTCCTAATTTTTTTTATTCCTTGAGACTTCTGAGTTGACAATGCCAACATAGGACTTGTTGGTTGAAATAGCTATTCGAATGAGGTAAATTTGGATTTCTATTCTATGCCATTTATATGCTCTGTTATAATAAATACATTGAGCTCTTTTTGTGGATCAGTTTTAATATTTTATATTGTTAGGATTCACTTGGATTATATACCAACGGATTATTATCGATATATATATATATATATATATATATATATATATATATATAGATAGATAGATAGATAGATAGATAGATAGATATGGAATTACTGAAATTTAATCTCTTGTTGGATTACCGGCCCCATCCCTGTTGATAATCACTGGCGGCGAGATTTGGAATTACCAACCCCAGACGATAATTACACGCTACACAAGATTTGAAAGAATCCATCTCTTTCTCAGTGACTTTCCATAGCGAAAAGACTAATTCTTTTTGCTGCCGAAAAAATGTACCGCATTTAATGGCATATAAGGAGCACTTCTTTTTTTTTACTAAAATATCTTTAAAATTTCCCCTCCGTCTTATATGCCATATACAGGTTCAAAATTCACGATAGTTGGCTGAATTTAGCTACCTGGCAACTCCTCCTAGCTTACATTTTAGAGTAACTTTCATATACTTATTGTCATTATTTAAAAAGCTATTATACAAATTAAAAGTGTTATCATTAATAATATTCATTATAATAATTTCATCACGTTTAATATTAGTACTTTATTTCACTAAAATTATATGAAATAAATTCAAATTTTGTAAAATATATTTGTTTCATTAATATATTTCTTGCGATAATTTCCAGTTACATTGGTATAAATACAATCAGAATTTTTATATCCTAACTATTCCATGATAGTAGTATTAAAAATGAGTTTCAGAGTTTTGATAACGAAGTCTACGAATTTTATGGATTTGAAGATGAATAAAATTTTAATGGTAACTGTACTGTTTTGCTCAATTGTAATAATTGCTTGATTTTTATTTTGTTTTCTTACCTTTCGATATAATAAAGTTTTTATAGGCTCGTGTTCTTTTTTCCTATTATTTTTCGTTTAATTGTAATCATGGTGTGTTTAACCAAAATAATACCTCATAAATATAGCCTAGGCTGTACCATTTATTAATAATTTTACTAATTACTAATTTTTTCTTGATTTGCCCTGCTGAAATTGGGGTGCGTCTTATACACCCGTACGTCTTATATGATGTCAAATACGGTAAGTACTTCATCTACAGGCACGCTGAAGGTTGCTTTGAAATCTTTACATTTAATTTAATTTCTAATTTTTCCTTTTGTAAAATGGCCCATTCACTATATTTGTTAATATTTCTTGGTTTAAATTCCATGTCTTATTTTTCCTTTGGATTCACACGAGTTTAACAAATCTTTTTGCTGGTAAAATGTACAGGGAGCATCAAATTCTCATGAAATGTATTAAAGTCTGCAATACTCTCCACAACTTTTGCTGCTCTAACTTTGCACCCGTTACCCTCCATCTTTGTCCTTGTTTTGCAATCCATTCATTCAAAACCATTAAGTAGTTTACTCGCTGTTTTCGTCTGTTTCTTTTGCTTTCGCTATGTCCTGTGAGTGTTAGATTTTTCAGGCCTTCTTTCCTCATTAGGTGGCCTAGAAATTTTGTGCGCCTCTTTTTGATTATGATCAGCAGTTTCCTTGTATAGGGTGTTCCAATAACTTGGACCGATTTTAAATGGGAATTAAGTTTAACCGTTTGATGATTTTTTTTTCTTTCAGATTTAACAACTTTGGCAATTTCGACCATGGGACGATTAATAATCAAACAACGTGTTAAAGTTATCGAAACCTATTACGAAAATGGATGTCCAAACGTTGTTTTCGTGTGAGGAACCCTCCCCGAAATTTTGTAATAGTATTTTTGATACATCCTATATATGTCTGTAGAGAACCGTGTCGGTGATGTTGAGTAGAAGAAGAAGAACACACGTGAGTTAAGATTTCCTGCTAGCCGGTCCAACTACATGAGAAAGTTGGACTTTAATTAAGTCCAAAGAAGGCAAAGAAGAACGAACAAGACCGATAAATATATGTAAACAAATATATGTATTAATAACAAGAAAGGTTACAAGTTACATGGGCAGTTACATGGACAGAGTGCGTGTGGTGAATATTATGTGTGTGTGTTGTGTTGTGGTGAGTGTTCGTACGTACGTGTATTGTTCTTAGCGTGTTCCCAGCATTTGGGAAATGCTGTATCTGTGAGCGTTCACATCTGCGAAGTGGTAAGGCTGAAAGCCTAAGGAAAGAGATTTACCTCAAGGTGGTGGCCCAAAGGCCTGAGGGAAAAAGAGGAAGAGGCGAAGTGCCAGCGAGTATTTATAGACAGGGAAGAGAGACCCCTAGTGAAAGATAAGGAGCTAAGGAGGAGCTAACTCCGACATGTCTTATGGTGAGATAAGCCGTTCCTATATAAGAGGCATTCGGTATTCATTGACTGAACAGTATGCATTATCGTCGGCTGAAATTATAACATTTTTCTCTTAGAACAGTTTTTTTTTCAGGAAAATAGGCTTCCCAAGTTATTAACTTTTATCACACTTTCACGTATTTATGGGAGTTTCTTTTCTAACCTTTTGTTCAATGTTGAGTTTCCACTCGCCATTTTGATGATGTCATGACTTTCTTTTTTAGTTATATTCGCGAGGCATTTTTGATGTTGCTATTAGAATTCTTCAAGTGATCTGTTTTTTTTTTTTTAGAATTTGGTAAAGTTTTACGCGATTCTGTGGCACCAAGCTTTAAGATCTGATGAGGAATTATCTTCTTTAATACTTAAATAGATCGTTCATTTTTTTGACCATTGATTTGAGGAAACGGTTGTTGTCATTATATTACGCGTATGATGGCAGAACAAAGAAGAAATAACGGTGATTTAAAGAAGTAAGCAATTGTATTAATGTAAAGTACAGCAAATGATTAAGCAATGTAGATGTCGCTCGTTGAAAAAAAAAGAGATAAGTGGAGTTGTAAAAGGTGTCCCAAAAGAAGGAGAGGGAGCATGAGTTGTGACTTACTGAGGTGATGGCTGTTGGTAAGCTGCCTATTGGAGATAGGAGGTCGACGAAGTCCGTGAACCCGGGCCAAGATGCCGGCCAACCGCCGAAAATGATGGACTTTGACGTCCTTTCTTACACTCAAATCGGCTCGGGTCTGTATTTTGTTTCTTTAGGCGGGAGTAAGCGCTATTAGTTGGAAATTCTGGATTGTATAGCTTATTTTTTTCTGTGTGAGTAAAAAGAGAAAGTATGCGTGGAGCCTTGCGCAAATGACGGAATTTTAGTTCAGTGTTCGGAGCCTTCATATCCGGTCAGTAGTGGATATTAGTGTAGTATGCATCAGAAAAAAGATCAGGTTTTAGGAAGCATGTAACATTGTTCAGGAGTCGGCAACCTACGGCACACGTGCTACACGTGGCACGCCGCCAATTTCCAATGGCACGCAGCCACAAATGACATCACG